ATGCAGACCTAAATTGAATGCTTAAATAAGCCAAGCTTACGGGCCTGATCTCAGCGTTCTTATTATTATCATTATCATTATGTTCATTATTGTTATATTGATACAGCGAAGTTTCCGAGTGCTATACTACGACATTATACCACTTCAAGGCCAACGCCTCTTCCTGTATGATTACTAGATACTTGACTTGCTGACGTATATCATGTGGTATTTTTAACTAGTGTTGACGACAATCTGACATGAGCTATTGATAGTAGAAATAAATAAAATTCCTGTAGTGTCAGTTCTCGAGTAAAGAATYCCCATTAGCAGTAATTACTCATCACGTGACTACTGGTTACAAAAATAAATAAAATTCCGGTWTATTCAGTTCAGAGTAAAATAATTCCCATTAGCAATGATTACTCAGCTCTTTATAGTAAAATTGTTCATGTGAACAARTTCCTCTTAGCGTCTCGTGAMTAYGGTTGACTGACATTCGTTTCAAGTGTTTTTAGAAAACCCWGCGTAGTGTATAGATTTTCCTTCTCGTAATTCTAGTCTGAGATCGTCTTTCATGGGTGGTAATTGCATGAAAATACCTTAAACTATAGGTTTYAGTTTTATAGATTGAATAGATTTGGCCGATTTATTGGTTATGTTTGCCAACTTTTACCAAGGTTAAAATATTTGAAACCAATATAAACCAATATTGGCGARGAATGGCTGGCTGACCASGTGACGTCCATAGCAACGGTCAGGGACCACAGCTCAACCTTGCGACGGAGCACATAAAAGAAGAAGTGTTGAGCTAAAGAATCAGTGCAGTCACTGAGTTGCAATCATGAAGCTCACTTTGACATTGCTGTTTCTCTTTGGTTTTGTTGCCTTCATTTCTGCTGCTCCACTGGAAGAGACTCAAGATGAGCCAGTAGCTGAGCAAGAGAAAGAAAATCCTGAAAGCTCAGATCYAGTCCAGGGTAGGCATGACGTTGACTTACATGTTGGATGAATTGTCAATTGCCAAAGCTAGTGAAGTTTAATCCTAGTTCATTAATGCTATATTAAAGTTAGGAAGAMGTTTCTGACGTCAAAATAATTACATATCTATCTGGTCTTTTTCCGTTCAATGTGTTTGAAAACAGAGTAAAACTTCATTATCAAATACGCATTCGATCTGTGGTCAAAGAATTGATGTTTTATAAAATAAAAAAATTATTTTTCATAGATGAGCAAAATGAAGCAAATAAAAGTGATCAAGAAAGCGAGGACGAGCCAGAAAACGACGAAGGTTGGTTGAAAGAATTGCTTTTTAGTCCACATTTTTATTCATTTGCATTACTTTTTATTACTTTTTGATTACAATTCAGACTTTCATTTTCTTCTTTGTTGTTTTTAACGATGATTTTTTTTTGCGCGAAAGTGGATATGACGTCTTGCAAAAGAGTGTATTTTAGCATGACACCTTTTCAAAACTTTTTAACGATGATTTTTTTTGCGCGAAAGTGGATATGACGTCTTGCAAAAGAGTATATTTTAGCATGACATCTTTTCAAAACTTTTGAAAATTTTGAAAAAAATAATTACACTTAAACCTTTGCTAGAAGTACGCCGATATTTTTGCACCATTTTGATGGTCTTATGCTAGTCTCAGCAGTTTTAAGGCTTATAATTATGTTAATTTTAATTATAATAGATCAGCCCGAGACTGASTTGAAAGAGGGCGAACAGCAAGACCCTGCCGAAGAAAACGGTGAGATGAAAATGTATTTGCTATTGGATGATTATTACTAGTGTTGAATTGAGATCTTTTACTGTTTTTTAGCTGTTTATACGTTAACCAAATCTGTCTACTAGACGTTAATTCTATTCAAAAATGCTCATTTGCTTTACAAATCAAAAATRGCACAATCCGTATTTCGTGATTTATCGATGCCGGAAATTTTTAACAAAAAGTAATTTATGTTATTAACTTGTCAAAACTTATTATTTGACAGATGAGCCCGATGACTTGGCAGAAAGCGAACAAGAACAAAACGGTGAGATGTTGAGGATATACGGTTTTTGGCGTAACCCTCTTACGAAATAACTCGATACATGTCAGTATACACTTGTTTGTTATCCTTTGTTTTGAATTTCGTACTTTTTTCTTATTTATCTTCCATTCTTAATGATTATTGGGAACATGTAATAGTCTGCACCATTTTAAAAATGCCGTCATAGCCAACTTAACCCGATTTACTTATTCCAAAGTGAAAAAGAAAAAATGACTGATAGAAATGATAATGCACAGAGCCTTTGTATGAGCTTTCCAAAAACTCAAAATTGCCACACAATACTCCAGTCAAAAAAAGTTCAATTTCAACACACGAGTGCTATTCAATATTAACCAATCAAAAGCAAGGATTGTAATACTAAAATAGGCCTTCTTTTCCTTTTAATTATTAATTGCTATTTATACCTAAATGAATGTCACAGAAAAATATATCTACTTTAGTTTTGAAGAAATACATTAAAATACTTTAAAWAGCAACAAAGAATGAGCAAAACAGAACCTTCCCCAGAATCCTACCCGGCAATGTCCTCGAAATTGGTGGCCAAGAGTTTTTGTTTCTGTTGTGYATGTTATGGGACATACGAGAAAAAACTATATGTATTACGATCTGACCAATAGCCTTCTGTTCTCAAAATAACCCAACATAGAACAAACAGCGGTGTAATGATGTGCGCAAAGCACAGTCTCGGAAAAGGGTTCTCTTACCCCAATTTTTCTTGTATAAAAGACAGCTAAAAGACAAGAAAATAGTATTCACGACGCTCAGGCAAAATGCTTTTCATCGTCTTTTCATATAAAATTAAAACAAATCTGTTAGCAGTAATCATTATATCTGTTTTTTTTTAGACAATTTTCTATTCAAAGATTTACTAATTCAGTTTATTGCTTCCCAATTAAGATCCAAAACGTTATAGACCTATAAGACATTGCAAGAAAGTAACAGTTTGCAGGTTTTGCACTAAAGTCAGAAGGTGTAAAAGGCGTTGCTACGGGCGGATTAAGGTTTGCTYTGGTTACTATAAGGTCCGTGTTTGCAGAAAGTTCARGARAAGGAAGRTTGTTCGCATAAATTGCAAACTGGGGWAMAAAAGGGTCAGATTKGGCATCATATATGTTGTGGTCAAGARATGTGTTTTGGTCAATAGRCGCAGATGCAAATTTAGACCCAAGTGCAAACTATACTGTAGTTATTACCAAAGATGTTCTAGATATGGTAGGGGTTAAGATAGGTGTAAGAATAAAATTGGAACCGACCCCAGAACGACCACTGTTGACCGGATACGATCTCACTTAAATGCCATGTAGTYAATCATTATAATTTCGMAAGCAAATATTGAAGACTCATTTTCACAATGTATTTGATATTGTTTCTTATTCCTTCAGTAATTTGTGTTTTAACTTAATGGAAATTTTGATCATTGTRATAATCTGGCTTTATACCAGTAGCTAGTGTTGTCATGCATGAGACAGCGAGTAACACTCTCTATAAACAATAATGAGTCTTCTGTAAAGCTCGTTAAAGTAGTTCTTAATAAAGCTGATAAAAACTGTTATTTTGTGATATTTTTGTCTTTTACTTCAATAACAGAAAGCATGRAGTGTCAAACATATGTGAAAAACAYGAATGGATAAAAAAAGGATAAAAACGAACAAGAATGAAAGTATTTTTTTTAATTAATTTTATTTTTATTTACATACAATTTTTCCAAATAATGAATTTCTTTTTTTTACATTAATCATACGTTTTACATTACATTGAACACAAAAAACACCCTCCCCTCCCCTCCCCTCCCCTCCACGACAATGACATAAACCTAATTAGTATATAAGTATAAAACGGCGCGCGTGTCTCTGTCCTCTGATATAAACACGGTGGGAGTTCGAAAAACACGAGAGAAGCAAGCTTAGAAACACGAGCGTAGCGAGTGTTT